GACGCTAGCATTCGAAAAAGAACTGTTGAACAATCAACAACCTTCTTTTCATCTTTCACTCGTTTAACACAATGTCTTATTGCTTCCTTCGATGCGCTATTTTGTACGTTGGATACACTAAACGATTTTTCGAGATGCGCTCTGAATATCTTTCTTTCTACTTCTTTTTCTTTTTTTTTTTTTCTCTCGAACATTTCATGCTCCCTAAATTTAATAAATAATACCGCATGCTACGATTTTTAACGATAATTCTGAAAGTGTTCAATCTTTCGTTGATCATCAAGACAAAGGCTATCTTTCGTCCAGAATGCTCAGATCAGCGGATCTCGTAAAATCGACCAGGCACGCACGATTAAAAGTGATTTCTAAAACGTGAGTATGCATTGCGCGAGCAACAACGGAGACGTGAATGTAGTATGAGACAAAAGTCAGTATAGCGAGACTTAAAAATCCTTCAATTACAATCTATTGAACACCGTTCTTTTTATTATCGATAGTCATAATCAAACAATCAGTGCATATAAAATATACTAAGTCTACCCAGCGTCAGAAAAGACTCGTCTTCTCTAAAAAGTTCCCTATAAAATTTCTTCTTGTTTCTTTGTTACTTCATTTTTTTTTTTTTTTTTTTTTTTTTTTTTCCCTTTTTTTAATTTTTTTTTTCTTCATTTTCCCTTTATTAAACTCTTTTAACGCTTGTTTCACGACAAGGTCTCACTTATTTGGCACTAGATTGCGATCATCGGGCGCGCTTCTTTTCTTTTCTCTTTTTTTTTTAAAAAAGGGATATACACACGCACGCGCGCGCGCCTACGATCGCGGGCTTCAATAACAATTTATTATTATTACTTCATTACTTCATTTCTTTTTTTTTTTCTTTTTTACTTTTCTTTTCTTCATCGTCATTATTTATGTCGCTTAAAAAGGCACCAAATCGGGGATTACACCGCTACGTATTATTGGATCCCACTGAAGTACGTTAATTCAACGTATAATATATAAAGTTAAAAGTCAACCACATATCTCCCTTTGCTTCTTTCTTTCTTTCTTCCTTTTTTTTTTTTTCAACTCTCATTTTCTGACGCATCATTTCAAAAACTGCAACGACGTTAATAGGTATTATCAACTAGCGCTAAAATATATTCGATATAACTTTTGTTTATATATATATATAATATAATAATAATAATAATAATAATAATGATAATCGTAATAATAATATTAATAATAATAATCGCAATAATAATAATAATAATAATAATCGCAATAATAATAATAATAATATGTATATATATATATTTATATATATATATATATATATATATATATGTATCATTCGCGTATGTACGCCAGTCGCGTACTTTGTATATGTGTTTCTCTCTGTATACGTGTCTGTGTACATATGCGTGTAATTTATTTGCGATAATAAACTATGATTCTTTTCTTTCTTTAATATATATATATATACATATATATATATATGTTTATGTGTGTATATATATATATATATACATATATTTATATTTAATATATATATATTAAAATCTATCCAATAGTACAGTCTGCTTTTTAAGCCTCGTAATTTACTTCTCTCTTTCTTTCTCTCTGTTCCTTTTCCGCGGTGGTCTCTTGCAAGAGCGACCGATGCCGATTTAACGCGTGAAAAAGAAACTTAGAATAAAAATCGGTATTGACTGGTGGTCCCCCCCCTTCGAAGCAAAGGGACGAATGAAAGAGACGAGGAGACGTTGTTGGCGCGTCGCCATTGCAAGAGCCATATATAAATATAATATAATCTATGTAAAATTTTTCTTGTCCCTCGTTATTCTTTCCCCCGTAACCCACCCGCAATGTCCATAGACTTATAAATTAATTAAAATATGTTCAACACGAAACTCATCAACGAGACCTCTGTGATCCTAACCGCGATTAGCGTGAGAAATTCGCTTACGCATGGAGTAAAAAAAATTCACTTAAACGATGGGCAAAGACAGTTGCAGACAGTCACCTAGGAAATTTTTATTCAGCCAATATTGATTCTTTCCTTCTGTTTCCTCTTTTTCTTATTCTTCTTCTTTTTTTTTTTTTTTTACTACAACTTTTAGTTGAAATTAATTTGAAACAATTTTCATCGTATGAGCGCGTAGCGCAAGGTGCAAGGCACTCGCTTACAAACAATTCCTCTCACAACACTTCAACGTGTTTCTTTTTCTCCCGCTATGAACACTTTTTACAATTTGAACACTAATTTTGTACGAATGATAAGGATCTGGTATCATATCATATCCTTAATCTTTAAAAAACACCACCTCGCAAATCACTCTACTACTTTACTGATTGGCAACATGAATTTCTTCCGCTTTACAACCTTAATTCTAAAGTTTACAACAACATTTAAAGGCAACGAACGTGAGCGAATGTTGTACGATAAAATTTTCGTAACAAGCTTCAAGATCAATTGCTAAATTTCAACAATTTTACTAGGTATCAATTTACCCTGGTCACGAGCCTTAAGATACCATCAAGGAATTCAATGTAAGCAGAGATAACGGCTTGCCTCGCATACACGTTAATTGTATATAAATATTCTTCGCTTTTGCTTCTTCTTCTGCCAAATATTCTGCAACTATCTTTCAAACGTCAGACATAGAAATATTCAGGGATCTTTGTACGACGACGACAACGACGACGACGACGACGATGACGACCAACAAATAAGATATGTAACAGAATATAATATATTATGCAAGAAATAAAATTTGAAGAAAAAAACAAACATACGGTCAACAAGGATCACTAAGAGAGTTTCACGTCGTTCGAGCGATTTCTCACGTAAAAGTCGACTAGGGTAAACTAACGCTTCTTTTCACACGGACGAATAAAATTGGATTTCCCCAAACGAGCTACCACGGAAAGCCCCCCCGATTTAAACGAAACACACAACACGTGGAACTATTTCCCTGCGTCTATTGCGTTAAAAAAAAAAAAAAAGATTACGGCACTCGTCGTGAAGCCTAATGTAATATCGAAACGATTGAACTGTCATTTATCATTATCATTAAAATTTGGCAAATTGATTTTGCTTTAGGCGATCCGAGAGCTCTGTTCCGCTGTACTTTCCATTTTCATATCGACACGCTTCAACACACCCGCTTCTACTACGAAATCTTTCTCTTCATCTGCGATCTAAAATTGAGTTAGTCTTAGCCTCTCAGTGATTATCAAATGTGAGTTTATTACTTTAATTATTATTTTGTTTCTTTACTTTACTTTAAATCGATATATAAGCTGTTTAGCCGCTGCCTCTTTGCACTTGTTTCCTTTTAATATAATATTTATGTATCAACTATTCAGTTTATCCATCCCACTTTCCTCGACTCGTCCTTCATTTCCTTAGCTTCTTTTTTTTTTCGTTTTTTCATTATTATTTTTTTTTTTTAATTTTTTTTCTTGGACGGGCTTTGCGTTAACCCATCGCGAACACAACAATTTCACCAAGACCGGCCTGTGACTGCCTCTCTCTCTTTTTTTCTTTTTCTCTTTTTCTCTTTCTCTCTCTCTCTCTCTCTCCTCTAGTTCATAAAATTTTCTTTCTTCATATCAAACAGAAAAAAGCAAGACAAAGTAAGATAAAAACAAAGCGAAAGAATGCACACGCACACGTCTTTTCCTCTCGCCGAAAATAATCCATCGACACGGAACGATGGATATTCTTTGGTCCATAAAAGTGAAAAATTTTGAAGATAATTGACCTGAGAGCATATCGATTTGCAAGTCAGCGGCACGGTCCATTACGCCAGAAATACTAAAACATCCGTGTATATATATATATATATATATATATGCTTTTAGTTTCTTTTTCTTTCTATCGTTTCTTCTTATCATGTTTTTTGTGTTTCTTGTTGCTTGCTTTATTTTACCTACGCCTCTAATCATTGCTGCCTGCCTAACTAATAATATATCCTTCTATCTTCCTAAAAGTACGCGTAATTGCGTCCAGAGATGATCGATCTCTCGACCGCTTCCGTGTTCCTTACAACTAGAATTATTTTTTTTCTTATCTTTGCAACGCTAGATATCTCTTGAATAACGAACGAACAACACTGGTCAATCGTGGGCGATAATTCGGACACAAGATCGTAGAAATCACGTCGTGTCCTGTTCTCTTCTTCTTCTTCTTTTTCTCCTTCCTTCATTTCCTTCCTTCCTTTCTTTCTTTCTTTCTTTTTTTTTTTTTTCTTGCCTTTCACCGTGACATCCCACGCATTTAAAATAACAACGAAGGTCTCCGTTACGATTATAATTAATTAATAATAGCAGTAATAATATTCATAATTATTATTATATAGCCTCTAGTCGTCTAATGTCTATGCCCAACTAGTGAAAAAATTTGTATATAAATCGTTTCGCTTCCTCTCCGATTCATGCATGTCGTTCATATAACCCTAACAGAATCGATTTATGAACGAAGGTCCGACTAGAGAGGATTCGACAAAGTGTAAAGTGCAAAATATAGTAAGCTACAATCGTATTTTAGTGCTGTCTCTCACGACTAAGCCTATGTACCATCACTGTAGCCGTATCCCTTTTGAACAGTAATCGATGATCGGACTCGACTGTTTGCGCGTGCACGCTGTAGCCTCGAAGACCAAAAGAACTCGCAAAGAACTCTATATTCTCTCTTTCTTTCTTCGTTTTTCTCTTTTTTCTTTTTCACCGTTCTTTTCAAGCACGATTTTTCTGAATTAAATACAACAAAATTATGCTTCAGATAGACTGCGTAAAACTCGTAACAAGTAAGACAAGGATATATTTTTAACAACGATAATTTCTATGACCCTGGACACACACATCCTTATCTTACGTTATTTAGAATTTAATATTTACAAAAAGAGAATCTACGGTATAACGATCAGTTTTAATGGATTATGAATTTATGTAACAAATTTAATAGTATCGTTCTCGAACGCGTATTTTTTTTTTTTTTTTT